GTCGGCCTACCTCCACGTAAAAAAAAAAAAAAAAATGTAGGGTCGATTCTACAAGTGTCAGTAAAATGTAGGGTCGCTTCCACAAGTGTCAGTAAAATGTAGGGTCGCTTCCACAAGTGTCAGTAAAATGTAGGGTCGCTTCCACAAGTGTCAGTAAAATGTAGGGTCGGCCTACATCCACGTAAAAAAAAAAAATGTAGGGTCGATTCGACAAGTGTCAGTAAAATGTGGGGTCGATAGCAGCAGAAAAGCTGGTAAACAGTTAGAATTAAATGTAACAATAGAAATTATTGCAATAATGCGTAATGCAATTGAAAAATCGCAGAAAAGTCTGATACAAATGTTTGAAACATAACATATTAAAAACACTGTTTGGGAAAAATTTGTCATAGAATTGCATTTCTTATTTAATCTTCCTTTACTGCTGCTTCTTGTGAAATTTTATGTCAGAAAATTGAAGAAATTCTTCTTTCTGTTTCGTAGGCAATTGATTGCTAATTTGCTATTGACAGATCGATGTTAAAATTTGATGTTAAATGGAACTTTCATATCTACCATAGAATCTGAATAATTTTTCAAGGTATTTTATTAAGAAACGCGCACATAGTGTTCAATTTTCTATCTTAGAATTAACTTACTTTATCTTACGAACTACTTAAAGTTCAAACTTTCAACTGTGTGTGAGAATGAGAGTGTCGACGGGTACGCGTAGTTCTTAGCTTGGTATCCTTTTGCAAAAGTGAGAATTTTCTTTGGAAAAGGATACCAATTACCAGGTCCCACCACGAGGAGGTGACTACGCAAGGGACCCGACAAAAACACATGCCCTACTGGCAGCTTTCTTATCTTCAGAGATACGCGATTCTCATTCGTAGCAAAGGAAATAGATACTTTTATCCAAAATTCCTGTCTCAAAAAGAGTGTCTTGTATTTCACTTTAAATCGCAACTCTAATCATTTTCTCATTCCCAATGCAATATTTAAACTCTAAAAATTTCGTACTCTTCCTTAATAAGATGTTGAAAATGTAGATGGTATTTTATTAATTATGCTACGAATGAGTCGCGTATCTCTGTAAGAGAGCGCGCACATGGTATTCAGTACAATTTTTCTATCTTGGAATTAGTTGTTTTAAAGTTAAAACGCACGCGTCCCACGACGTCCATCGGCGGATGAATAGAATATTTTCTATTGTCTTATGCTAACTTATTTTATCTTACGAACTACTTAAAGTTAAGACACTCGTTCACGCTCACTTCATACTCGGTACAGTTTTCGATCTTAGAATTAATTAAAGCTAACATGCGATAAAAAGGTACAATTTTCAAGCGTACAATGAAGCTCTGTATGAAAAGTATATTATTAAATTGCAATAGGAGGATAAATTGTTAGGATATCTTTCTTATATGAAATCGTAGCAATGGAATACCTAATTAAACCTCTGATAATGAAACTCATACCTCAACTCAAGGCAAAATTCTTTTTCGAACAGGAGAAAATTGAACTCTTATGTGAGCTCTAAATATTTACCTAAATCGATCATCGAAAAAACGTACAACTCCCTAAACGAAGACCACACAGGGGGACATTGTTAAATAGATTTTATTCCTACCCTGAACCTTATCAGTACTCTCGGTACTTTTTATATCTTCAGAGATACGCGATTCTCATTCGTAGCAAAGGAAATAGATACTTTTATCAAAAAGAGTGTCTTGTATTTCACTTTAAATCGCAACTCTAATCATTTTCTCATTCCCAATGCAATATTTAAACTCTAAAAATTTCGTACTCTTCCTTAATAAGATGTTGAAAATGTAGATGGTATTTTATTAATTATGCTACGAATGAGTCGCGTATCTCTGTAAGAGAGCGCGCACATGGTATTCAGTACAATTTTTCTATCTTGGAATTAGTTGTTTTAAAGTTAAAACGCACGCGTCCCACGACGTCCATCGGCGGATGAATAGAATATTTTCTATTGTCTTATGCTAACTTATTTTATCTTACGAACTACTTAAAGTTAAGACACTCGTTCACGCTCACTTCATACTCGGTACAGTTTTCGATCTTAGAATTAATTAAAGCTAACATGCGATAAAAAGGTACATTTTTCAAACATACAATGAAGCTCTGTAAGAAAAGTATATTATTAAATTAGAACAGGAGGATAAATTGTTAGGATATCTTTCTTATATGAAATCGTAGCAATGGAATACCTAATTATGTTAAACCTCTGATAATGAAACTCATACCTCAACTCAAGGCAAAATTCCTTTTCAAACTGGAGAAAATTGAACTCTTATGTGAGCTCGAAATATTTACCTAAATCGATCATCGAAAAAACGTACAACTCCACACAGGTGGACATTGTTAAATAGATTTGATTCCTACCCTGAACCATTTTAGTACTCTCGATACTTTTTATCTCAACAATATTGGCAACGACAGGCTTCGAACAAGAACGCCCAGGCAATTTATTTTCATTTTGTTTAGTAAGGAAAATCGCGAATTTATTACAATTTAACAAAATTTCGCTGGAACACTGAAACAGAATATAAATTAGATTGACAAGATAAACAATTCATACGACTCGCCATTTCAGTCCTCCCAGCCTTCGATTTTGACCCACAATTCACTTGGAAGCTTCTCTCAGACCCATGAAACTTTTGCAATTCCCTCAGTGGACCATTGAATTCCCCTCAGCCTTGAATTTTCATCCCACCAGTGGCCCACAATGATAGATTGAAAGACCCACCAGACTTGGAAAGCTGTGAAAGGGTGACGCGCGAAAAGTGGAGTACGAATCGCGATTTATTTTCATTTTCAGGGATTTTGTTTAGTACCCGAAACCGCGAATTTTTATTATCCTCCATATTTTCCTGAAGTTGATTTTAGTTGGGACATTTAGCAAAAATTCAAAAAAGAAAAGAGAAAAGAAACGCAAAAATGGAAAAAGGGACGAAGCTATTTATCAAACGCGACGCGACGTGATAAATTCTCGTATCGATCGAAAGTAAATGGGAAAATTGACTCTAAATTGAATTAACGCGGTATACTACTTTGATACTCTAATAATGGGAGGGCGTTTGCACCATTAGTGCAGTAGAGTCCATCCAGTTCTTCTGCGGACCTCTTGGTAGTTCAGCTTCGACATGCACATGCACACACATATATAACCAACCACCAAACCCTCAAAAAATTCACTCACAATTCGCAGATTAAGCAGCTGGGCTCT